CCAAAAAAAAAAAAAAAAATATATATATATATATATATAGGTATTCACACAAAAAAATATAAACTGTCTTTTTATCACCTGAAAGAGGGCAGCAGAGACATCTGGCATCAGTTTAAAGGGCTGAAAAGGACATGCTGAACTTTATTCTCTCCCTTATACACATCAAAACTCAGTCTAGAGAATCCCCCAGAGCAGGCTGCAGCCACTTACATTTTTCATACTGACTAGTAACATGAAACACCACGGAAGGAACACTGACTTTTTTGGGGACTGTGTAAGTGAGAGACCTTTATCAGCCACAGCAGAACACCTGCAAATGCTGAAGTACTATGAAAGAATAACTGAGAAAACTGAAGTCCACAGCTGAAGACAACCTTGGGATAAAAAGAAAACTACTTCTCTTACTGTTAGATCCAGCATCCTCAACTGAAGTAATAGTCACTTTTTAAAAGTCATACGAGAAGCAAGTTTCCTCAGTTGTACAGAAAATATGATATCTTTAACTTATCAGAGTCTTCTAGAGAAGCAGCAGTTGATATTGCCACAGTGATAAAAAGAGGTTTTGCAATACCAAGATTTACAAAACATGGTAAAAAAATATTAACTTCCTCGATACAACTTCCAAACAAAAAGCCAGATCCACTATTCCTCAGAGATAAGCTTATGCAAGAGAAATCCTGCCAGGAATCAGCAAATAGACATGAATTCCTTTTCTTGAATACAGCTGAATAAATTTAACCTGCCAGCAAGAACAACTAGTCTGTTTCTCTCAGTAGGTAGACAGCTGCCAATTAAAAAGCTAGCTCATACCTTGTAGATATGAAGCCATAAATTTTCACCAGCCATTGCCCAGTCCAAACCAGGAGCAGAACAACATAATTAGTTGGATTTTTTTTTTTTTTAAAAATGTTTCACCCGTCTGAGGTGGGAGTGGGAGTGATGGGAGATTGCCTGATATCTCCTCCCCTCCCCCATTTCAGTATGAGCAATATTTTTCTCCTGCAGCTTCATTTTCTAAATTAGACACAGGATGTAGCTGCGTATCAGTCATGTGTAGGCAGAGGCTAACTTGCTTCTCATCTGTTAAACAGGTAACCGGAAGATCTACAGAGATCAGCCCAGTGTCTCAGCTAGGGGAATGTGCTTGCAATAAGCACACACTGTTTATCACACGGGCATCCAACTGGGCCAGTGTGAACTTGGACAGCAACCCTTTGACAGAGATGCCAAAACAATTTATTCCTGGCTGAGTCAGTAGAAGGACTTGGGTCACATTTTATATTTCATAATTTACTTTATTTCACATTCACAAATAAGAACATGCACTGAACTCATGGGAAACAAATCTGTTTGGGGCCAAGTTGTGTTCAACACTGACAGCACCTTCCAGGTGTCACGATGGTCTATTTACAGAGTGTTTTGCTGTGCAGAGGCAGAAGGGAATGTCAAGTGCTCTGCTGCTGTCTCACAGTGAACAAAGGTAGCAAGTGACATTTCCTCTCTTTATCCTTGGTGCCTCTTGCACGGCTGTCTACTTTCTCCACAGCTCTAACCTGTCAGGTCCTAAATAAAGAAATAAAAAAGTTAGTTATTATTACTAAGTGTAGTCATTACTGCATTAAAATTCTTAACACATACGGTGTGGAGCCATCAACTGATCTTTTTAGAGGATAAAGAGTAGTAGTCTTTGTTGATGATTATGCCAATCACTTGGCTCCTTTTTTTAAAGCAATGACAGATATTTAAGCTATATTACAATAGATAATAATGTTTAGCATTCCCACAGTTCATGATCTACCTTAGCAAGCTTTGGTGCTTTACATTAATTAATAAACTATTTTTTAATGGGCATAACATTCACTGTTTTTATGTGTGTGAACTAGCAGCTACACATGTAAACTATCTTCCTGATTAGATCTCCAAATTAGGCAGATTTTGATTTTTGTAGATCCAGTGGTTGCACATGCATTTTGCTTTATTATACCCTCTGGATTTCTTTATAATTATCTCATGCTTTCCTGCCTTAAGCTGTACAGATGCTTTCCTGATATCCTAAAGAATTTCATTTTGAGTCATCCATGGCATTTGAAAGTTGCAGTGGAGTAATATGCTCATTAGACCATGATGTTAGAAGTAAGAAAGGTATTTAAAAAAAAACCCAAAGACGAAAACCAGAAACAACTCCTCAAGACATAGAGCCAGTAGCCTGAGGCAAACTGGCTTTTTCATGTAATGATAGCTGAATTATGTGCCATGTGGATTTAATAATATTTTACTAATCTGCCAAGCAGATGAAACTACAATTGAGAAGAATATATTTTGATTTATTAGTGTTTATTAGTTTTCCATGTATTTATATGAGAATCAACATTTGTAAAAGACAGAGGTAAGGCTTCTCATGTATTTAGCTAACCTGAATCTGTGCTGTAGATAAAGACTGCAGTTTCTGAAGTGGGATCCCAATAGTTTCCACAAGCCTTATATGTACTTGAAAGAATAAAGCCAGATTGCACACATCTTAAGTTGCTTTCATTCCTAGGTAGGTGACAAACATTTGAGTTATTAGAAGTACTGCTTCAGGAAAAGTACTAAACAAAAATACTTCCAAAAAAAAAAAAAAAGAAAAAACCAAGAGCCCTGCTGTTCTTTGATGAGAGTAGGAAATCCATTCTCAGCATCAACATCACCTTTTCCTCTCCTCCAAATGCAATTTATTGTATTACAGGAAAATAAACAAAAAAAGCTTCACATAAGTTGTGGGCAGTTGAGGCAATGGGAAACCCATTCAGTATCATGGAGTGGCTCATGGACTGGGTTAGGTACATAGCAGTGAACTGTCAACCAAAACATTAACTTAGACATCTAAAATGGCTGCAGCCAGTTAGCATTGAGGAAACCCAACATTAGCAAAGAACAGCGATTTCTCTAATCCTTGTGTAAAACCAGCACATATAGGGGCAGATTCTAATAGATCGCATTTAAAAGAAATAATATACAGCTTTTATCTAGTTGTCTCAAACCACCATTATTTAATAGGTGAATGATTAAAAACCAATGTATTTTTTAAATCTAGAAAGATAAAAAAACATTTGTGAAGAAACAGACAAGGCGGCTAAATATGCTGAAAAAGAAAGCATAAGGATAGTGCTACTAATATAAGCCACTAATACATCCTAATATATAAAATAACCACGACAACAGTTTCTGAAGAGGCTCAGGTTAAAAGGCACCTGAAATGTACCTTTCTGTCCCAAATCTGAAATAAGGCAGCAGTTTATCAGAGTAGCACAACAACTAAATGACAGCCTCTGCTGCTTTGATGTCATTTTCAGGGCAGGGCTGGCAACAGTACCTTGCAGAGAACATCCTTTTGAGCTTGCAGAAATAACTTTGAATAACTTTGAACTTGGCCAGTCATGGTCATAAACTGTCCTTGAATGAGGGCTTGGGAATGGGATCATCACTAACTTACCACAGCTGAACAGATCTTAGAAGACCATCCCTTTCCCAAGCCAGGACAGAGGTAGGATATATGTACTCATATTGTAACTACTGTAACAGGATGTTGTTGGACACCTTTTGCACACAATCTTCCAAGCCTTGTGTGTCTGCATTTCTGCACCTGTGAAACTGCTGCCAGGTAATAGCTCCCAGTGGCTTTAGAATAGATTGATAGACATTACTATACTTTAACTAAATAGCAGCATTTCTTTCCAAAAGGACCCCAGAGAGATTATGACTTATCTCTAGGCTACCAATACAGAAATCTGAACGAGAAGCAGCTTTCCACAAGAGATGCAACCAAGCTGCTTTTGCAAATACAGTGACAAAATCACTACTTTTACGCCCATGATGTCTCAATACATTTCAGATGAGACATGCTTTTGCTCACTCTCCTGGAAGATGACTAGCTTTAAGCAAGTCTTGGAGATCTATGATTTTATTTTTAATTTCTTTCCTCACATTTCACAGGAAACTTTCCTTATGAAGCAAACAGAATGCCACCACCCCGAGATTCAAAGTCTCTCTTTCTTTGGCATCAGCCAGAGCAGGTCACTACCAGCTGCAATTAAATCCCTGCAGCATGCTGTGCTTGGAGCTGTGCTCTGAAAACATGTAGAAACTGAAGATAAGCAGCAGCTCCATGTTGAAATAAACGGGGGTTCACGCCAACAATATGTTGCTTCAGAGCAGCAAAATCAGCTCTATCACCAATCCCTTCCAAACTGCAGGGGTTTTGGGTGGGTTTGTTTTTAGTTTTGTTTGTTTTTTAAGTCTTTTCTATTCAGAAGTGCTGGTGTCTGAATACCCCTCTCCTCTGAAACAGGTGCTGCAAATGAGATAATCGGAGGGTTTACAAAAATGTAAAGCTGGTCCTGAGCAGAGCTTTTGCTCTCAGTAATCCTCAGAATTCCCTGCAGGCATCAGTCTTTAAAAATTCAGGCCATGCTATATAGTTCATCCTTTCTAACTGGTATTTTTAAAGGGTATTTGGAAAATTTTGATGTGGACTATTTTGGCAGTTGGCAGTTTTACAGTGGAAAGACAGTCCATTTTAATAAAAATGGACTGTCCAGTAAAGATTGAGAACCTAGACATTTCTTTATTAGCCAGTCCACATGCATTTATTCATAAAAATCTTTAGAACCAGCCTAGAATTATTCCTATCTTATGGCTAGAAAAACTGGATTAAGAATTTATCCTCTC